GGCCGCCCGGTGAGGGGCGGGCTTTGCTGCCATGAGCACGGCAACAGGCGGTGGCGAGACAAGTCATTACAAGTCATTGGGTGCCAATGGACACGCCGTTGATAAGTTTGATCCATAACCCTTCAAGTACTACTGATGTAGTGAATATGGATCCGAGAATCGTAAGTAGGTGGAATATGCTAACTATTTAACCGGGTGAACCAAGTTCGTGGCTGCTAACCACATATCCACTGGGATGCACATCCAAGTGTTGAATCGATTGCCTCTGCATTTGCACATACACTGGTCTGGCCTGGTCAACAAACATGGCAATGTATGGCAAACATTTTTTACCCAATAGATACACCATTGCCATGAAGAGCCCAGGGTTCTGCTATTTTTCTAGTCAGTGTAGGGTGTAGCAGCTAGATAGGCGGATGAATTGACAGAGAAGCATGTAGCAATCAAGACTATTGTACCATCTGCCAAAAAATCATCTCCTTATTGCGCCCAGTCTTGATGAACGCCCAGTCGGTTGAATGTGGGACTTTCCTGAAAATGAAATGCTGTCTTTGCATTGGATATGGGTCACACAGTTGAATTTCATTTGGACAATATGAATGAACGAACATTTGGAGACAAGATGTTTTTTGATGGATAGCCCATTAGTGCATTTTTTTGGATGGATCCCCCCAGTCACGATACGCAATGATAAAATTGGCTGGCTTGAAACGCAAATGACCACCTTCCGCTCGGGCCTCGCAGGTAAAGAACTTCTGTTGAAGTTGAGACAAAGATTCAAGGCCGGGGGACCGGGGGAGTCTCAGGATTGTTTCAAGATTATTTGACATGTGTTGGGTGTATGACAGCTGAATTTTGATCAGGTATTCTGACCTAAGTTTATGACTGATTTGAATTGATTTGATAACATTACATTCAAATTGAGTATACTGAAAGTTGATTATAGTTTTTGTTGATTCCATAACCTGACATTCGAAGGGGCTGTATATATACGCTGATGCTAATCCCCAAAGAGACATGGCTTTGCTAACAAATTGGAACAACAAATTTCATCTAGTGGTTTGGAATGTTTTTCTCCATTGTCTGCTGGCTATACTTCCCTCTCGTTACTGAAATTTTCGGGCGAAAAGCGATGTTTAAGTGGAAAGATTGTTGCATCTCATATTGGTGTGGGTGAATCCTAATTTTTGAACACATATTCCAGCTTTTGTTTGTGATCCATGCGTACATGCCATATACAATCACATATCTATCTCTATGTATCTAGCGTTACAATATATATATATAACACATGCATTTTCCGCAACCGCCTTTGACCTCCCGGGTCATGTTCCTTCAGATCGAGTTTCCATCCGATGCACGGGAACCCAGAAATCTGGTACGTCATTGGTAGCCACTGGGACCATCACAGGCTTCACGGCCTTGGCGTTGACAGATATGAGTTATTTTCTGTACTAACTTCGTTATCTTTGGTAACCACACTATCTTATTAACCAATCGATTATTCCTAATTTTTCAATGACTATTCCTATAATGCAGCAATTCAATTTTCATATGGGTTTGCATCTGGGATACTGCGCGTATTGCCATTTTAAGAGGCTTGAACTTCCCATGTTCATTTGGGATATTTTGGGATCATTCATGTTTCCCGTTGGGTTGTTGGCGACATCCTTTTAAAAATTTTATTTTGATTATCCCAACTATGTCACAATCAGCATATTGTTATTTTGAGGTTACGGAATTCGATCATGGGTCTATAGATGCTAACATATTGTGTTGCATTCATATATATATATAATATCATATCGTATATATAGTTCATCCATACATAGATATTTGGTCTATAGACTATATATAGATGTTTTTTTTTCCCCGGTTTGTATGATATATATGATCTATAGACCAGGTTTATATATTTAGATGCTAGGTTTCCACTGAGGCGGCTGAGACCTTGGAACGGGTCCACAAGTCTCTCTCAGCTGGGGATCTCAACGGAGTCGGGGTCGAAGGTCCACATGAAAAATGGGAGATTTCCATAGGTTTTCATGGGAAAACCATGGGAAAACCATGGGAAAAACATGGGGAATGGAGGTTTAGAACTAAATGAGGGAGACATTCAATTGCCACGTTTGATTCCTGGAAGGTACAGCAATGAGAGATAACCAACCAACAAAAATTGGGTTCCTTGGAACCAATGATGTTTTGCAACTGGTTGGTAATTGGTGTTAGTTATATAGTTTCCCCATTTGTAAATGGGTTGATCCACAAAATGGAGACTTACTAACCCTGGGTTATGATCCCTGGGATGATCCTCAACCGTCAGCTGATCAACTTCTGTTGATGCAACCATTGTGAGTTGGGGGGCTTTTCCACCATCGGAACACTGAAAAGATCGGGTAATGATCTAATTGGTGATATCATTACCAACTGGGTGTTTACCTAGATTCCTAGATTATCGTGACCAATTCAGTACCAACCAACTGACAAAAAACATCAAAAAACACCATTCCAGGGTAATGATCTAAGATTGGCCATGTGAAGGATTTCTTGGATGTCGTCTGGGTCTTGTCCTATCAGTTGTGGACTTTTGGTGAATATTGTTGGAGCTGGGACAGAAAAAATGCACAACTCATATTTTGATTACGATTATACAAAATGTATTCTAGTAAACATCATTATATATTCATACAATTTCATACGTGTACGGTACGTTATTTTTCAAGATATTAAAGGTGCTTATGATTGATCTATCAATATTCAATAGAATTCAAGATGTGGTTTCTTTTTTTCGTGCACTGTCTGGATACCGCTGGGAGCATAGCCGGACTGAGGACAACATGGTTGTGACCCAACAGGATGCAACACATCAGGTCTTTGCCGCTGTGACAGTGCCGTGTTTTCCCCATGATTCGCTGATGATTTTGTTGGTGAACCAAGTGCTGGGAGAAGCCACGGCGGCGTAACATCATGCAGGACTTTGGGACACTTTGGGCAACCTCAAACAACTCACCATTTTTTTAATACGTAAAGGTATCCGGGAAATGGTGGGAAACCATGCTAAAAACAGATCAAACAAGCTTTGGGTTTCAGCGAGCCATGGTTTGTCATGACCTCGATGATCGAAATTCCATTCAATCGCAGCAATGCCCCGGCCTGGAAGAGAACCAGCCGGTGAAATATCCGGTTTAAACATGTTTAAACGTAGCAGTTGATTTTCTTCGGGAACACATTGGAACACTACATAGTTGTTTTTCTGAAGGTTTGAAAGTGACAGCATGCCCCTGCCTCAACTATTGACATGCTATTGATTTGAATGTTCTTGGAATCCTTGGAATTGTGTGGATGAAGAAAGTCCATTATTATATCGGTTTCTCTGAAAATGGGCTCTGCCCCGGTTCATCATCATTTTTCCATTGCACGCTGCATTAAAAGTTGGTATATCATAATAGTATACCCCATTTTCAGTCATATCCCACATATTCCCAAAAATTCCCAAATATCATTAATATTGTTGGCTAGATATTCCATGATATTCCATATCCCCAGAATCACCCAACTATACCACCATTTTTATAGGTTAGATATCATCAAAACATCTGTTTTTCGCAGGTCATAGGGGACTACTCTGACTGGTGGGATAGCCTGAGTCCCAGTTCGCAAAGCCATCGCAGCAAGCGCTTCATGGCTTGGGTTCATGGTGGATATTTAGCACAAGTTATATAGGGGTTCAAAAGCTGCAATCATAAGTTAGGGGCCCTTCCTCTACCAACAAACTTCTGGGTCGTAGTTGGCGACATGTTCATTTACCAAAGAAACCACAATACTATTTGAGCCATTAAAATACCGTAATACCGATGATTGGTTATGAAATGGGCTTGAAACCAACTTGTTCACATAGGGGATTATGACAACCCACAATTCACGGGATCCTCATTTCCCAACCATCAATGGTTTCATGAGAACTTGAAACCGGAAATGACCGGAAAACCTTATATTTCATTGGAAAATCATTGGTTTCCCACAGATTTTCCCGAGACCCATGCCTTCCGAGGTCAGTCCACCACCAGAGGCGGGGCAGTGCACCTTTCGATAGGTCGAAGCCCAACATTGCATCATTTCAGCAATGGGTACCATTTGATCCCTAGCACCACGGTGATTTCCTGGCGGAATTTCCGTTGAAACCATGGCTGTGGGATGGATCAGAGGCAACTGTGGAACACCAATGGCTCTTGTATTGGATCATATTGGATCATATTGGATCATATTGGATCATATTGGATCATATTGGATACCTTTTCCATATTTCCTAGTCTTTTCCACATGGTAATCGCCTCAGATTGCCCTTCCTATGGGTTGCCAAAAAGGGCCCCGGGACTGCGCCGCTACAGGTCCCAAGTTGTTGGCAGTTTCTGAAGACTACCACGTAGAAGAGCTCTATGTGTGCCGAAAGGGCTGTGCACAGCGGAAACAGCTAGTGTCGTGCTTGTCGCGCTGGTACAATCCTCATTGAAATTCCAGAGTTTGTATCGAATCATATATATATATGTATAGTCATACATTTGTACAAATTATAAGCATATACATGTATATGAACGTATCAGTTTCTTTTGTATCAAAAAATCATTCCAAGAACTTGGATGATTCTTTTTTGGCAATGTGATGGGATATTTTGTGCCTTAGGAAGTCACATCAGATTTTAAGATTAAGTGCCCTCCGGCAATTCAACAGAGCTAAATATGGAAAATGGCCCATTCATTTGTGTCATTTGTCCCATTAGCACCTCCATTCAGTTTGATGAATTACCTGAATCATATGTCCAGTTCCCAATGGCAACGAATGACCAGAGGCTATCATTGAAGCAACATCAAACTTTCAATACCACGAAATTCCATGAACACGCCATCATCAAAATCCCAAAGCTCACCGAGAATCAACAAAAAACGCTGTTTCTTAGCCCCAAACTTGGACACAACGTGACACAAGTCACTGGACTGCGGGAGGTGCATCTCAAAGATGTACGAGTTGAAAGCACCATTGACCTTAGGCGCGCTTGAGTTTTATCTTGGCCCTGGGTATACAGAATGGGAATTGAAAGAAGACACATGAAGAAATTCTTGGAAAACGTGAGATTTTGGAATGTGGAAAAACACAACTCCTTGGTGCATGTCCTTCTTTTATTGCATCTTCTGGTTATCTCAAGCATTGGTCTTAGGAGTCTTAGGAGGTCTGGAAACCGCCGTGACTTCTGATCAGCAGAAGTGACCCGAGGTGAAAAGCGGACCGCCGAGTTCAAGTTGTTCCAGGCCGAGAAAGATGGGTCCCTGAAAGGCGATTTTCTCATGTCCCATGTCCGCCATGTCCCATTTGTTTGCTCACTAGTACTAAATAGTACTGTACATAAGTATATAATAATATAATATAATATATAAAGAAATATAAAGAGTATTTCTAAAGTTTTTTTTTTTCACATCTCTCCAAAAACAATGTATACACCAAGCATACCTTTCCTGAAGTCAATTTAAAATAGTGTTGTATTTATATTCATGAACATACATGATATCTATCAAATAGTATAAACAATATAGTATAAACACTAATACACATATTAATCATATGTTCCATCACATTTTCAAGATTCTGTTTGCCCGGGTTAAAACGGGCGCGGCAGGAGCTTGAAATCCGTGGTAACAAACTTGACGAGAAGAGCATGGATCCTGAGGCGTATGGAGCCCGCTTTGGGACTTCAGCAACAAAGATGGTGTCATATCGGGATTTAATGGTGGTTTATAATGGTGTTTTATATCCCATTATATAAACCCCATATTTGGTGTTTTAATGGGATTTAATGATATTAATGGTGGTTTATATAATGGTGTTTTAATGAGATGTTTAATCAATGGGGATATAATGGTCTAATGGGATTATACTATGGAGTAAGGATATCGGGTTTTATACAATGGTGTTTTAATGGTGTTTTAATGAAATTTATATAATTAATTGAGATATGATGGATGATTAATGGGATTATTGATCTATGGAGTAAGGATATCTATGATATCGGGATTTATACAATGGTGCTTTATAATATAATGATGTTTTAATGAGATTTTTCATGGGATTAATGGGATTATACCACTTGATTTAAACACATCTGTCACTGGCGGATTCGCTGTCATCCAACGTGCCAGTTGTTGGTTGGGCCGACGAGCAAGTTCCTCGAGCTCATAGGATCGCGGGGAGGGGAGCGGTGACGGTTGTGGTTGCCAAGTCACAACAGGGACACAACAGGTGGGATATGATTGGGATATGATTGGGATATGATTGGGATATGATTGGGTATTTCCAACTACTGTACTCTCTGGTGATCGAATCAAACATGGCTGGAACATGAAAAAAACCGTAAATTTTCTTCGATGATTTTCGCATTTGAATGCCCATTGAGAAAGGATTGCCCAGCGCCTCCCCAAAGAAGTAACGACCGGGTGTCATCAATTACCTGGGTTCATGAGTAGCCCACGCTTTACATTTTGAGTCACCGTGCCCAGCCGTGAATTTATGTAATGAATTGACATGTACAGTATATATACGTATAGTTACGTATATATATATAGATATACATCACATATGATCTATATATTGTGTATGATACCAGTTTTTCATGTTGAGTCATCGTTATTGTATATAAAATAGTCAATGGTTACGATACGATTACTTGATAAATGGACATATCATGAAATACAAGATTTCTCAAAAAAATGCATGGTTTCAAGATGTTTCAAGGGCAACCCCCCAAACAAATCCAAAAGACAACTGTTTTATTGGAAACCTGGTTGCTTTGACCAGGCAATTGGGCTGGGCTAGAGCCACGGGGAAAACCCTCCATTTAGTTCGAGTATACCAAGCTCGGGTGCTCCACGGTGGTCAAGTTATGTGGTGTTGTGTGAGAGTGGTCCAACCTCAAGTGTATAGAGCATGTGTGTATATATATATACACATTATATACATATTATACATATGCATCTTTAATATACCTACTTTTCTAGCTCTATGTTTTTCTACCTCTGTGTTTCTCAGAACCTTCACCTCCCGTTGTCAGGAACGGTCATGGTGGAACTGTATCCTTGGATGGAGACACTGCATTTGTTCGTGCTGGATGGCTCGGGCAAAAATTGTCGGGATGCCAAGGGGACTTAGGGCCGGGCTTCACGAAGAAAAACAACGTGATTTCCAACAAACATGTGGATATGATACAACCATTTTATGATAACTATATGATAGCTAAATGGAATGAACTTGGTTAATATTTAACTATGGTTTACTGTATTGGGGCCCAGGAAAGGACAACAAAAAACAGAGAATGTCCAACATAAGTGGGGACCCAAACTATGGAACGTTGGAATTTCGCAGATCTTTCCTTCCAACAATTCTTTTTTGCCAGTATCAACCTTCAGGGATATCCAATTCAAATGTTCACAAATTCCATCGGGGAAATCATGACCGTTGCACCGCTATTTTCCGAGAATTGCACGGTTACACGGGCATTTTCCGGAGCTGATGGTCCATTACTCATCAAAATGAAGATTACCGATGGGTATCCCGCACCAATTTCAACAAGCCCCGTGGCTGACCTTCTGTCCACACATTCGTGCCCTGTTGCGTAGATCATCAGCACTTTCCTGGAGTCAGATTCTATGAAGAGCTGGTGGGCATGGCACCTATGAAATAGGCGGAATTCAGAATATGCACTATAGATGTGTTTCCTGTAACCATAACTATACAGATCTATACTGTATATACACATGTATGTATGTATCTGCATAGCTTGTTTTCATGTCAAGCTTTAGCCCTCCAAGTTTTCGAATCCTTTTTGCCGTGGTTTGAATTTTGCACCGCGTCGCCAGTACATGTGGGTGTTCCAGAAACCTTCATCAGACTTGTGTGGCCTGGGAACCTGGAAGCTGCTGAGAAACTCACTTGAAAAAGACTTGAGCTGATGCAGAATCATGAGATGATTAGTAAAACATGCGTTTAATTTAGCCAATCTGATTGGTAGATTTTAACTGCCCTTGGGTTTAGTTGAGCTACCTGGGTTTGTTTAACCAGTGATAAGTAAAACTACCTGATTTGGTTGAAATTTCCCAGTGGCTCATCACTAATTGGGGATGTTTTTTGGAACTCCTTAATCAAATCGAAGACTACAGTGGTCCTGTACTGTAAAGTCCACATGAGTTGCAGATCCATTGATGATGCTTGGTTACTGACTATCAAGCTTACTCCGCCCATTAGACTCTGCCGATTAGACAGTCCTCATCAATACCAATTTGGTTCTTAGTATCCTCCATATATTCTTTCGATAATACGACGACAGGGGTTTCCAATGAACCCTGCAACCACCGAGGCCAAATATCATCGTGGACAAGACCCGAGCATTTGGCATTATGGACACTCTGTTGTCCGGGTGTCCCAGAACCATCAGCCTTTGTCTCGAGATGGCGTACCAAAATTGGCTTGTCTAAAATTACTCCGGCCAGGGACCCTCAACAGTTTGGAGGGTGGCCGGAAATCAAAGTAGGAAGCACATGACTGCGTTCGAACAGCAAGAGCAGGAACTTGTTCTCTTGATCAAGATCTTCAAACCAAGACCTCTAAGAGAAACTGACAAGATCGTTCGGAGGACCTCCTAGAGAGGATCTAGCCAATATCTTTTAACAAGAACCTTTGTGAGAGCATCCACAAGAGCTTTCATACAAGCACCTCTAATACAGGGCCGGTTCAAGATCTTTTTGCAAGGACCTGTGAAAGGATGTCACAGGATCTTCACAAGATCTATGCACAAGGACCTCTACAAGACCTTGGTCAAGGTCTTCAGCCAAGATCTTCAAAGAAGGACCTCTACGAGCCCAGTATGAATTTCCCGCAAGATCGTCATATAAGGATTTTGAGGGAAGTGAGCAAGATCTCTTGGCCAGGATCTTTGAGAATCAGAGAAAGTGATCCGCGCGCAAAAGCGAGAGGGATCTGACGCGCACAAACAGATGGGGAGGTTGCGCGATGGATACGAAGATGAGCACCACGCCGCAAGGACAGCGATCTAAGCGCACAAAGTGATGAGAGGGTTGCGTGAAAGATATCAAAACGAGCACCGTGCCACAGGGAGAGCGATCTGACACGCACAGAGTGAGGAAAGGGTTGCGCGTGAGCGATGTCAAAATGAGTCAAAATGAGGAGGCTTTATGGCTTTACCGGCCTTTTTCCACCTTTAAGAACCCCTCGGTGTGGACACGCTGTTTGGGGGAAATGAGGCATCATCAAATCCAGTGGTTAATGATGATACTCCCAAGTAAACAGGTATACAGTATACCTTAATTATATATTTTTGGACACAGCTATAGATGTGAATTCCCGACGACGGATTCCCTACATATTCTGCGTTCAAGTTGCTACTTGGAAGATATCTCCCATATCGGCTGCAAATGATTGAGCGACGTCAGCGGTGAAAAGGCAATAGTTTAATCAATGTGTAGTAACACCCGAAAGAAGTCGAACAGTCATTGACCGCACGATTTCAATATCTTAGTCAGATGTGACTTCGCTTCTATCTTTTTCGGTTGCTGCTCTATGTCTGTATACTCAAAAATCCAATATGGCTATAGCTCCAAAGTCTTGACCTTCAACATCGTGATTGGATTGGATGGGTTTTGTTTAAAACATAAGGGATAGAGACTGACCAATTCTTGATGTCATAGATCTGTACCTCTTTACCGTCCAGTAATCAAACATGGCAATTTGGAAACGCCTAAGAACCAAGGGTTGAATGAGAAATTTTGTTTGTAATCATCTGTGTTTTCATTGCCACGTTTGACAACCGGAGGATATTTGAGCAACTATTAAAACTTTATATATCAACAATTATATGTACAAAGCTAAATTCCAGAATTGCTGATGATCCAGAAATATTGATTCTCACGGGGATATGGAGACTTGTGGAGATAGATCACAATCTATTTTCATAGCATAGTACCATTCGGGTTTAGGGATGAACATCTAGAAACGCTATCACGCTATCATCAACGCCACTTTGTGTGAACATAGGGGTGCCGTGGTTGACCCATGATTCACCATTAAGTGCTCATATCACCCATGAAAGTCATTGTCCAAATCTATATATATATACTTCGAAATCGCGTGATGTTCAATTTGATGATATTTGATGGGTAAGAGTTTGTTTTCAAGCCAACAAATCCAGAAAGACATGGGCGTGTCTGAAAGCCCCTACCAGACAATTCCGGCCATTTTAGTAGGGAAAATGATGATGAACCAATAGGCTGTTGTTTTTTCCCAAAAAAATCCGACACACCCAAATGTTTTCCCACTACATCCCACTGTAGACTATAGCACCCCCCCAAAAAATAGAATTGGACAACATCTGAACTCTAAAATGATAATTGAACCTTTTCTATTTTTTTTAGGGGCTTGAGGGATTACTATATGTATCCCCATGATATCCCCATGATATCCCCATTCTCATCTTTTCCCACGTTTCCAAGCCTCCGCCTCGGATGGCCGTAGGAAGACCCTGCAGAACACCGACTGCGATGCACCGTGGCCTCGTAACCATGGTGGATGTAGGGGATGAACATATTGATTTGGGACCAGAGAATGGGGGGTTTAATTTGGAAATATGGGTTTCATTGATTTTTTAAATGTCAAGTTCATGAAGATGCCTAAAATTGCTGAGTGTAATTATTTACTAATGGTGTGTGAATAATATTTTACCAGGTAGTGCCCGTCACGCGCCGGGGCGAAAGTTTCGAAAAAATGAAGTAACTATAGGCAACATATGGCCTATAGGAAAGTTTTTGAGATGCAGAAGCAACGAAGTGTTGAAGTTGTGAGATGCATCAACCAATGAGCAAATGGTTGAATGCCAATGACACGACATGAAAGAATCCATGCAGAGCTGACTGAATGAATTAATGAACCAATGAATCAGTGAACCAAGGAATCATTGAGTTTATAAACCCATGAGCCAATGAATTATCAACGCATCAGAGAACCAAGGAATCAACAAATCAATGAATCAACGAATCAGAGAAGCAATGAATCAACGAACCACTGAATCAATGAATCAGTGAATCAATGAACCAGTGAATCAGTGAATCAATGATTGAATCAATGAATCAGTGATTCAATGAATCATTGAGTGAATGAACTAATGAATCAATAAGTAAATGAATAAAATGAATCGACCAATGAATCAGTGAATAATGAACCAATGAAGCAGTGAATCAATGAGTCAGTGAACCAATGCACCAATGAATCAGGTAATCAATGAACCAGTGAGTAAACGAATGAATGAATTGAAGGATGGGTGGATGGATGGATGAGTGAGCTACTTTTCTCTGTTGAGCTATTTCTTCACTGAGCGATCCCTTCGCTGAGGCGTCTCTTCTCTCAGCTACTTCTTCTCTGAGCAGCCACTTATCATCTGGGATACTTCTGCTCTGAGCTGCTGCCTCCCAGCTAGCTCTTCTGTAGCTTCTGCAACCCAAGTCTTCTCTCCGCGCAGCTGGTACAATCCGTTTAGCAACCTCCAGCTGCAATCCCACATAGCACAAGAGTAGCACTATGGTCAAGAACCATATACCTTTCGCGCAGCTGTTGCAATGCGTTTAGCAACCTCCAGTTGCAATCCCGCTTGCCAGGAGCGTCGCAGCATCACTCATGCTTTGCTGCGCGCAGCCGTGCCAATGCGTTTATGTGTCACAGCCCGGCAGGAGCGTCACACCAAGTCGAAAAGCATTCGCGCAGCGTCAACAGTGCAGACCCGGCCACACAAATCCGGGGCTCGATCGGGGAAGTTGTCGACAAAAAGTGCACAGGACTGTAGCGAGAGATCCGATTTGCACTTCAAAATGCTTAAAAGGAAGATGAGGTCGGTAAAATGCGCACGATACTGTATAGTGAGAGCTCGGTTTCATATAAGAATCGCAAAAAACTGAAGTGTTCGGAGCAGCCCCGCAACGGCAGAAACAGAGACCCTGCTTCGGTGACCCCAGGAGCCAAATTATCCGAAAAAAACACAGGGTTTCGTGCCCAAAAATGTTTTCACCCGTGAATTCACACGCTTGTGGAACTGGTACTCTTCTCTCCTCCCGCATGGAACTTTTCTTGACATGATAATGACATGATGACAGGACTGCCCCTGGACATTCGTCCGTAACTTGGAAGATTTCGAACTAAACTTCCTTTGATTATATATATCGATATCTATATCTATATCTAACTATCTATATATATATATATCTCTCTCTCTATATATATATGCAACAATACGGGGAAACCAGGCCGGTGGATTCAGAGTTGGATTTGATTAAACAATCGGGATGGTCATACCACCATTAGGGAATGGCAATGGCAAATGTAAGGATTCTTTTTGGAAATAGCATTAATAGTGGGAAATGGATCCTTATAATATGGCTTGATATGCATTATATAATGGGATGCATTCCATGATATACACATACAATTTCAATAGGGAATACTTGTGGGATGACCACAAACCACAACCCCCATCTTTTGGCCATGGCAAATATGGGGATTTTGTTAATGGTGAGGCCCTAAAAACACTCAAAATCAGCCACTGCGAACAAGGAAACCAATGGTGCAATGCGGTGCAATCTTTAAAAAAAATTGTACTTACATTTTATCAATTTAAACATGTTTGATATTTGATGAACAATCGACTCCAATCTATTTGTTTTTCCTTTTAATGGCATACATTTTAAAGAGGAACGCATCTGCCAGATTAGCACGATTTGGGTGATACGTTGTGGTTGCAAAGAGTGGTTCATGCACCTTCTGCAAGTGAAATTGCTAGGACGCGCAAAAAAATGATCAAAGTACTGCAATATTGAAAGAGAAAAATATCAACTGTGAATGATCAGAAGATTCTGGCCGAAGGCAACAAAACTATTCAGACAGTGGAATGCAATCTTCCACAATATCGCTCCATGTTCATGCGACAAATCTTCATTGCGGGGCACGTCTGGGTGTTTGCACCACCAACATTTTAGTCATTTGGGTTTGCCGGAAAAATTTTGGGGAGAGACCCAGATCCTGTTTCGTAAACATTATCATCCCAGGATCCCCATCAAAATTGCCAAACCATGACAAACCCATATGATTGAGTGTTGGGTATACATATATTTGAGATGTATATGTAAATGTATATATATATATATATGTATGTGTATATATAAGTGTGTTTATTTATATATGTATGTATATATATAAACGTATATATCTATATATGTATATAGTATATACAGATGGTTATATACACCTGCATTTCGGCACCATTCGAACTTTAACAATGGTGCCCGATGGACTGGCCTGTTGTTCCAACGAAATCATTGCACCCCTCCAGCGTTGGGGATTTTGCGGGTTTCCATCTGGTTGACTCCAACATTTGTTTGGTTTGCAGTTTCAAACATGTTTATTTCCATCCCTAGGTGGAATGATGTCCCATGATTTCCATTTTGCTTGTGGGGGTTGAAAGCACCAATGGGGTTCTTGATGCTTGTTTGCTCAATTAATATCCACTTATATCCACTTATATCCACTTATATCCACTTATATCCATTTGTTTATCTGAAGTTTTGTTTCATGGTTGCCCCCCATTTGTTCCCAAATTTCCAGTGATTGTTTTCTTGGTGGATCCCTGTTTCCCAGCGAGCCGCAAGCGATCAAGGATGTGAAAGCGCTAGAAAGAAAAGCCAAAAACCTCTCAGAGGATCGCTCGCGTTGTTGTGTCCATGTGAAGAGGGTGGGATGATATATATTTTTTTTTCAAAAATTAGGCATGAATATGGATAGATCTGGATAGATATGTAAATTAATATATATATATATGGTGGTTTCATCTTGTTTCTTGGTGATTCCAAGATGACAAACATGTAGAGGCCTCGCAGCGTAGAGTGGTATCTCCTTTTATCCAATCTGATCTAATCCGGTCTAATCTTATTTTATCTACTCGTATCTAGTCTTATTTTACCTAATCTTATCCAATCTTATCTATTTTTTTTGAAATCTAATGTCTTATCAATGTATCTATGTATCTATCTATCTATCTACCTATCTATCTTTCTCTCTAATCTTATCACATACAGTCTTATCTACTCTACTCTAATCTTACCTTATCTAATCGTATCTAATCCAATTTTTCTATTCTTATCTAAACTTATCTACAGTATCTATCTATCTATCTATCCATCCATCCATCTTTCTTTTTATCTATCTACAGATATCTACATAATATATATCTATATACACACATATAATATACATATGATAAATATACATAGATAAATATACACATTGTGGATATTCCCACTTCTAGGGAATGTTTCGCGGTACTGTGACACAATTTTTTAAACAAATGCACAGCATTTGGTATTCCATGAGATGCAGCACCAGAGGCCTGATTTTGAGGTGCATGTTGAGTTTTTGTGTTGAGGTCCTCTATTGATGCCGCTGGACAGTTACAATAAATTGCATAACTTCACAGTCTGGCTTTGTCTTAAAACTGGTTATACGCCCCCACATGGCAATTCTGATAGTGAACATGATAAGCCACTGGGGTGCCTTATTTTCAGACAAACCCGTGTGCTGCACAACTTATCCAATGGAAGGTAAGAGTATGCTGTAGACTGTTGGCACCGCAAGGTGAGAACACAGCTGCGCGGCGCGGATGTTGCATGTGCGAATATGCAGAGATTCCCGGAGACAGTAGACATAGACAAAAAATGTTTAAAAGAAAATGGTGGGTGTAATTGTGTATGTATATATATATAATTATATATACACATGTTTATCTTATCAATTTACACACATATAATATATATAATATATATATATACTATATATATAATATATAATATGTATGTATATATACTTTAATATATAATACAATATATATATATGATATAGTATAATATATATAATATATATATAATATAATATAATATATATATATACATACATGATATGTAGAAATACATGGAATATTGGGGTCATCTTGACATTCTGAACCACCAAATCCTATGGATATCGTTTTTCATGTGTTTTTTCTTCTGCATTTTGGGACTAACCCTAATACAGTCATCAGTTGGGCCCAGCTGGAACAGCCCAGAGAGTCTCCAGGCCAACAGTTGGAAATCTTGTTTGAAAGACAAGATTTATCACAAGTCCCACCCTCAGGTAGCCGTCAACACCAAGGGTCAAGGGGTAAAGTTGGCTGGTATTTTTTGTTATGCAAACCATTCCGACTTCTGGAGTTGTTTCTTTCCATTGCATTATTGACAATACTGGAGCAATCTCTTGAATAAACCATTAGTCATACCCAATCACTGAATTGTTTAAATGTTTATTTTTCTCTGTTGAGTTATAAGACAAACCTCTTTTGGGGGGGACCAAACAACCTGACCGATCCTCCAACGGCAGTGCAATTGTTGGCTGCCAAGTGGACGGAGAGAGACATTCACCACGTAGTATACGTATTCAGCAAAATACATATTACTGTATATATATATATACATATATACATATATATATATATTCAAACACATCATGTAGACACCGGGCCGTTCCCTAGGGCCGATCCCATTCGGATGATCTTCAACGACAGCGTCAGCGATCCTCCACTGTCAAAGTGTGGCCCTTGGTGTACAATGGCTATACCATTTAAAATGGCCATACGGATAGGGAAAGTATGAGGATAAACTGACAAACCATTTTTTTGGGGCATAATCTAGTTTAGACAAAACCATGTGGATTCATTCTGATTGGTTGACATTTCCTAAATGGAGAGCCAATCATCAAAAACCATGAGTATTTCATCATCGATCATGACATGGTGATTATTTTAAAAAATGGGATTGAATAGGTAAACATCCAACAAATTGGATGGTCACTGCATCTTGATCCTAAACTGGCCAAAACTTGAAGGTCCCAGGGTCATAAGTTTGACTCATGTCGGCATTGGACCAGGTGAGACATGTCACCACTTCACAAACTCATAAAATTAGTGGAAGTCGAAACCAATTGTTATGCTGCAATATATGTATATATATACACATGCGTATATCTGTTCTGCTCCAACTTTTACCCAAGCTTTTTTTGTGAGTCAGCTACAGGAGCTGCTTGTGAAAACATATTCTGGCCACATGTTTTGAATCCAGCGCCCAAGAAGAATAAGATGATTCATGGTACCATGCCCTGCCAATCTGCCTTATATATATATATATATGTAAATGTATATAGAGGTTTCTTAAAATGGGGGCTCCCCAAAACCATAGGTTTCTCAATACTAAAATGGTCCAATTTTGGACGATGTGGGGTACCCCCATTTTAGGACCCCCCGGCATATATATATAACGATATATCCCAATCGGAATATATATATATAGATACCAAACGGATATGCACGGATGATTACAAATACTGATGCCGAAGGTTGCCAGAATACCCTGCAGTGGGAAGCCCCCATGAAACCTAAGACTTGGCGTGATTGTCCGACATAAAGATGGCCATAACTGGGTAGTTGCGGGCCCATTTTCCGATTACATATCCCATAACATATCATGAATATCCCCATCAAATGATGGTTTTTATACCCCAATATCCCACATTGCCGCTTGCCCATGGTGCAGGATCGAAGGCAGGCCGATAAAACCCTTGTACATCTACGAGTTTGGGCCCCAACGAGAGCTTCCTATGTCTTTGTTCAAGAAATGGGTGCCTGCACATGGTATGATTAGCACCAAGAATGACCAAACATTGGGTGTCATGCGCACACACACACATACCTACATACCTACATCCCTACATTCCTACATTCCTACATTCCTACATCCCTACATATCTACATACCTACATACCTACATTCCTACATTCCTACATTCCTACATTCCTACATTCCTACATTCCTACATCCCTACATCCCTACATTCCCTACATCCCTACATCCCTACATCCCTACCTACCCACCCACCCACTTACCTACCTACCTACAGGCAGACAGAGACAGACAGAGACAGACAGAGACAGACAGAGACAGACGGACGGACGGACGGACAGACAGAGAGACAGACAGACAGAGACAGACATAGAGAGAGAGAGAGACAGAGAGAGAGAGAGAGACAGGACAGAGACAGACAGAGGAGGACCGACAGAGAGAGACAGATAGAGAGAGAGAGAGAGACAGAGAGAGAGAAAGGGAGAGAGAGAGAGAGAGAGACAGAGAGAGAGAGAGAGTGAGAGAGACAGAGACAGAGACAGAGACAGACACACAGCCAGCCAGCCAGCCAGCCAGCCAGCCAGCCAGCTAGCCAGCCAGCCAGCCAGCCAGCCAGCCAGACAGACAGACAGACAGACAGACAGACATACAGGCATGCATGCATGCATGCATGCATGCATGCATGCATGCATGCATAGATGCATGGATGCATAGAGAGAAAGATAGAACGAAAGAAAGCTAGATAGATAGATGGATGGATGGATAGATAGACAGACAGACAGACAGATAGATAGATAGATAGATAGATACATTGATGGACAGACAGACAGACCGACCGACAGACAGACAGACATCATGCATACATACATATGTTTCGCATGATTACACACTTGTATTTTATTGCTGCCCCGACAATCTTGGGAACATGTTCGCTCATTATATGATGTAAGAATGTTTGCAAGGATTGAAACACCAACCAGATGGGATTGGACCAGAACTACTGACAGCCCAACATTGAAGGGTTTGGTGTGATACTACACGTGATCAAATGCGGTTCCAGTGGGACAGTTGTACCCCAAGTGTGAAACATATATGTCACATAGGTACGGGTAAAACTTGTGTATACACTAAACTGGATATATTTTACGCAAGGAACATGTAATGTTACTCTGCCGGTCCCTCGTGTTTTAGTTGACCTGTCAGCAACCATCCATCTGCATTCATGTGAATATCTGGGTCCAAATTGGCTACCCCAAGACAGGATAGATAAGGTAAAGAAAGAGTTTCTTGAATAGCACCATGAGTGCTCTCGATCTGCTTTCCACTGGAACCCCGCACTGGCACTAGGCATTCCTATCTGCAAATGATACTGTAAAACAGTGGATTATGTAATTATACACCTTCCAGTAAACTAACACATATGGAAAATCCACCGTTTGTGGATCATTTCCTAGCAAAACCCATGGATGTTTATTTTTTTTGTATGTTTACTGAAGGGATTATACCAATGACAAAACTTGGTGTCTCCAGGCCTATCCAGCCTTCAGCTTGAGGTTCAAAAATAAGAATGGAATACTCGCCGGAAACCTAACAACGGGCTCGGGCAGATGGTCCTCGGGATCAAAACCTAGTTCTACCATGTTGGGATGAATATCCATAAATGCTACAGTACCACTTTATTTTAGTGTAAACGGAAGAACCTATTTTTTTGACGCCCCTTATCCTAGGTCAAACATGAGATACCGTTTTCGGTTTGGCTTAAGAACCGGAGTCATTCACCGCTTGCTGAACTGGGATTCTCATCCGAGCATTTGCGGATGGCTGTTGATCATCGGACAAACGCGGCCTTTCGTTTGACCTTCACGCGCTAAGCGATCCTGACGTTTGCACAAGATCTTGATGCATCAGTCAGATGATTTGTTTGGTGGTATATAAGTGGCAATTCCAAGGTTTTGGTAGCACCAGCTGACACAAGACAGTCGTGGTAAATAGCCTGTTTCAATTGACAGCAAATTACATCCCCTGCATAGACTCATAAAAGGCAGCGATATCATTATGGACGTCAGCCCCAGTTGGAATCCCAATATCTCTGTGGTTCCTCGATCGCCGGGCTGACTTACCGCCCCAAATTGCCCCACATCATACTGGTAGTGGATCGATCAACATTTCGACTCCAGAGGACTGGTCATTGTAGCTATTTTTCTCCCTGTTGTTGGGCTAAGTTTAATTCAGAACCAGCATGTCCGAGTAATGCAGCATTGCGGTTCGGATCACTTACCAATTTCGTGTACAGTGACGGACCCGCAACTCCCAACCATTGAAAAACATATGCAGCATGCATTTAACTACCCATGTGGATGGCAGTTTGCGTAGGAGGGAGTTGATCAGTGCAAAATCATTTATACTGTATACTTCCATTATCTTCCATCCATTTAAAGTATTTAAGTTATGTATATTCCCATTTATATCCATCTATAAGTGGCTGCAGGGCCCATCATCAAGTGATTTCCTGTGTCCCTGTCCATTGAGGAGAGCTTCGAGTGCATCAAAGACTTTCCTGACATTTCTTGTCACTCGACTTCAATCGCGTTGGCTCCAGCCCTGGGTCGACATGGCGGCATACAACTAGAGAGGTCCAAGTCATCATTGTTGTTGTTGTTGTTGATGTTGTTGTTGTTGTTGTTGTTGCTGTTGTTGATATACTGCTTCTTCCCAGTCGAGACGAGGACCCACCTGACTACAATTGCCTACAGTAATGTCCCTTCATGGAGTAGTTTGGGGGGGCTTTGGTGGCCGTCTGGATAAGCCTAGATAAGCTATGGATAAGCCAGAGACGGTTATCTTCTGGAAGATTCTTTTGGCAATTCATTACTATTCATTGCAGTTTTGGGAGGTGCAACGATTTGGCTTGAGTGGCATTGGCAATGCATGTATCTAGATGTTTAATCCTTTATCCCCATATTCCTTGCCTAGATCCCCATGTTGGTTGCTCTGGCCCCCAACCTTTGATTCCATTAAGGCTTCGACTTTTGCAGATTAACTTCTATCAGGCATCCGTCCAGCTCAAGTGACCGAAATCCGCGGGAAAAGTTGGAGAGGATTGCCCCTATGTGACGGGGGAATGGCCTCATTCCTCAACTTACAAGGCCAAGATTTGGGTCAAACTTTCAAACCATCCCACCATGGTGATAAGTAGGAGGCACATCTTCCAACGATTTTTTTTGCAGGTTGCTGAGTGCCATTTGTAAGTGCGGGTGTCCTCCCCAAAAAATGGGGTTGCATGTGTTGAAGGAAAGTGGGTAGGAAATCAATGACCAACAGGTGATCTTTTTGAAGCTGGGGGTGACAAATGACCCGGTATGGGATGCTTCAGTGGCCACAATGGGTCAACAAAATGTCAAGGATGCTTTGCATCTTTCTATGTCTGTAGGTGCCCTCTGGTAATTTAATTTCGTGTATGAGTAGATGATGGCGCACTTAGTTCGATGATTTCCACCAAGGTCCATAGCTATTTTGAAATCAATTTTAGATTACCAGCGGGTACCCTTTGAATCCATTAAGGCCGTTTTTTTAATGGGTTGATCCCTACAGCTGAAGTCAACTGAACGTAGTCATGTAACATAATGTCATCAGAAAAGTAGTTATAGTGACGGACTGAAACTTAGAATGCCGCACCCCTTCAGCTCGCGCTGTCCTAAAGAATGCCGCCGCGGGGGCAAAATCTTAAAAAACCCTGGTAAAATGCAATTTTCGGGTACCTGCAATTTGAGCTGGTCTTTTTGTAATGAGTCGTTCGTAGGTAAATTTTGTGAGAATTTACAGCGTAATATGAGATTGAGTGCCACACATAGAATGCCTCCGGCCAAAAAGTCCAGCTCACAGCATGTCAAACATTTGAAGCCCATATTTTCAAAATACTCGGTATACGTGGGGTTTTATGTACTTTGTGCAGCCCACATAGAATGCCGCCAAAAACATATACAAATGTCATCATTCTGTTGCAAAATCTCTGTTTTTTTGGTGAAACACATGGTTTGAAGGATTGTATAAATTTACATTAAATTTACTATTTCATATGAATAATTGTATATAAATCCAATCTCATGGGAGGTATCCTTTCCTTTTTCCTTTCCTTTTTCCTTTCCTTTTTCCTTCCCCCTTTCCTTTCTCCTTTCTTTTCCCCTTTCTTTTCTCCTTTCCTTTCTCCTTTCTTTTCCCCTTTCCTTTCTCCTTTCCTTTCTCCTTTCCTTTCTCCTTTCCTTTCCCCTTTCCTTTCCTTTCCTTTCCTTTCTCCTTTTTCCTTTCTCCTTTCCTTTCTCCTTTCCTTTCTCCTTTCCTTTCTCCTTTCCTTTCTCCTTTCCTTTCTCCTTTCCTTTCTCCTTTCCTTTCTCCTTTCCTTTCTCTCTTTCCTTTCTCCTTTCCTTTCTCCTTTCCTTTCTCCTTTCCTTTCTCCTTTCCTTTCTCCTTTCCTTTCTCCTTTCCTTTCTCCTTTCCTTTCTCCTTTCCTTTCTCCTTTCCTTTCAACCAGACGGTTTTACACTTAGAATGCTGCCAAAAATGTTACACATAGAATGCGTCCAAGGGTTTTGGGGGCATGTGTTTTATGATTTTTGCTGATTTCCACATGAATTATGCTTTCCTTGACGATTTTTGTCCCTCCCGGCTGCATTTGTAACACTTAGAATGCCACACCAATCCTTTCCTCTTTCCTTTCCTTTTCCTTTCCTTTTCCTTTCCTTTTTCCTTTCCTTTTTCCTTTCCTTTTTCCTTTCCTTTTTCCTTTCCTTTTCCTTTCCTTTCCTTTCCTTTCCCCTTTCCTTTCTTCCTTTCCTTTCTCCTTTCCTTTCTCCTTTCCTTTCTCCTTTCCTTTCTCCTTTCCTTTCTCCTTTCCTTTTTCCTTTCCTTTCAACCAGACGGTTTTACACTTAGAATGCTGCCAAAAATGTTACACATAGAATGCGTCCAAGGGTTTTGGGGGCATGGGTTTTATGATTTTTGCTGATTTCCACATGAATTATGCTTTCCTTGACGATTTTTGTCCCTCCTGGCTGCATTTGTAACACTTTGAATGCCACACCAATCCTTTCCTCTTTCCTTTCCTTTTTCCTTTCCTTTTTGCTTTCCTTTTTCCTTTCCTTTTTCCTTTCCTTTTTCCTTTCCTTTTTCCTTTCCTTTTTCCTTTCCTTTTTCCTTTCCTTTTTCCTTTCCTTTTTCCTTTCCTTCTTCCTTTCCTTTTTCCTTTCCTTTTTGCTTTCCTTTTTCCTTTCCTTTTTCCTTTCCTTTTTCCTTTCCTTTTTCCTTTCCTTTCAACCAGACGGTTTTACACTTAGAATGCTGCCAAAAATGTTACACATAGAATGCGTCCAAGGGTTTTCGGGGCATGTGTTTTATGATTTTTGCTGATTTCCACATGAATTATGCTTTCCTTGACGATTTTTGTCCTCCTTTCACTTTGAATCCTCCTTCCTCTTCCTTTCCTTTTCCTTTCTCCTTTCTCCTTTCCTTTCCTTTTCCTTTCTCCTTTCCTTTCTCCTTTCCTTTCTCCTTTCCTTTCCCTTTCCTTTCTCCTTTCCTTTCTCCTTTCCTTTCTCCTTTCCTTTCTTCTTTCCTTTCTGCTTTCCTTTCTCCTTTCCTTTCTCCTGAAACTCACAAATGCGATTTAGGGGACAACAACTAGCATATTCACACCAGAACAGGGGATTATATAATAAATTTTTATATACCATCAAGAGTTTAAGTCTACATCTCTAATAGCAACGGACTGAAACTTAGAATGCCTTGGACCAAAAAAATATTGAAAGGGTCTCCAAATATGGCGATAATCATGCGCACTTAGAATGCCTCATAAAAGTCCAGCTCGCAGGTTTGAACGTTTTGGCGCTGGAGGCATTCTAAGTGAGGCCAAAAAAAAGGCATTCTAAGTGCGACCGTTAAAAATCTTGAGAAACATGGCGGCATTCTAAGTTTCAGTCCGTCACTATATATACTGTACGCCATCTCACCTTTCATGATTTTGACCCAACGTACCATGGTTTCTGCAACTGCCAAAAGTTTTATTCCTATGAACATTTGCCCTCCAGCAATTTAACATAGCTATGGAAAATGGTTTATTGAGTTTGATGGTTTACCTCTGAGAACAGGTGATGTTCCATAGCTATATTTAATTACCAGAGGCCAGTGGGAGCTCGGACGGCAATACTCGACGTGTTTCCATTACTTGACCTGTCAGGCAAAACGGTGGTGGGGGTGCTCAGCTGGGCGGTCGTTTTGGGTGTCACCAGCTTGGATATGTGCAAAGATGAACCGTACGCCAGTACCCCAAATATTTTCAAACATGCCTATATGTCAGAAGTAATGTTGGGATGAGAAATCTTTTTGATTGGAGTAGATCCCAAGTATGGGCAAAGCACGCGCATGGATACTGAATCTGGAATATAATATAAATAACATGGGGCAATATTGAGAATACAGACTGAGATAATATACATATATAAATACATAAATATGATATATTCAATAGATATATATATATAACATCCAATGTATGATGTATAATTTCTATAATGTATATATTGTATTTCAAAGAATGCATAAATAATCTTAACTGATTTTGTATATATTTATTTTTCTCATATATACCGTCTAAATAATATACGTAATCATATGTATTAAAAAAAACCAAACATAGATTTTAAAAAAATAAAGCACATTATCATATCATAATATTTTATTATTACATAATTTCTTGTTTTTTATATTTGATATGATTTAAAAAAGCTTACTTGATAAATCGAATACAATATGATATTACGACATATTTTCAAGTATGATGCATAATTATTAATTAACCATAATTTATTGTTTATTAAATACCTTCTTTTTCAAAATTCATTTATAACATTTAAAACCAGTAGAATATATATATATAACATGTATATTTTTACCTTTCTATTAAACATACTTCGTGTATAAAGTATGCATAATATATATATATGATGTGTAATATATAAATACATTTGATATATATTTATATTTATGTATAATATTTTGACAGTTTATAAATTTTATTTAATATATATTCAATATATATATATTTAATATCTATTTGATATATATATATATATTGAATATTTGTTTACTATATTTTGAATATATATATATATGTATATTTAGTACATTCAATAAATATGATATATGATATATTATATATTTCATATTATATATATTATATATTATATATTATATATTATATATTATATATTATATATTATATATTATATATTAGATATTATATATATATATTATATTTTATTTTATATATTATATATTATTTATTATTTATTATATATTATATATTATTTATTGTATATCATATATTATATATTATTTATTCTATATTATATATTATATATTATATATTATATATTGTGTATTGTATATTATATATTATACATTATATATTATATTATTTATTATTTGTTTTATATTATATATTATTTATTAAATGTTATATATATTGTATATTGTATATTATATATTAAATATTATATATATTGTATATTGTATATTATATATTATATATATACATATTTTTTTTTTAATGGAATATGTCTTTTATTTTTATTTTTAAATAGATTTCAATAATTTTTACAATATAGATTTTGTTTACACAACAATAATATGATTAGGAATATCATAACAGTAAATAATACATTTATATTTTTTAAAACTTTTTTACTGTATATGTTTTGTATTTAGTACGTATATATATATATGAGACATTTTTTTGAAACAACTTTTACAGGGGGTAAGTGAAACATACAATATAATAAAATATGTAGTATACATAATTTGTTGAACGTAAATTATATACGTCATATCTTCGTTAAATCATCTTTTTGGGTTATAGATTTAAAAGGTATACGATCGATATAATATATTCAATATGTGTACAATCTATGTATGAAATGTAACATGTGTGATATATATATACATAAATTGTGTTGAATATTCAAAATATTATGAACCACATATATAGTTTCTTCTTTAAATT